AACTGAAAGGGTCATTTCCGTAATGTCTAGAAGTTACAAGTTACGATGAACCTACCCGGCACAGCAAATCAGCAAGGGCTACAAGAAAGTTAAACGACTGAAGGGACTGAGCAGTTTAAGTACATCGATTCCATTAACTCCAGCAACGGTAAGAGCCAACTACAGTTAAGTAGGTAGATTGCCTTTGTTTCCCGGGCTTCGGCAGCCTGCTAGATTTGCTCTGAGTTTGAAATATTGCTTTCCAAAAAAATCCGCATGCTTCTTACCTTGGAAGAATCAGTATTGTTATAAGACATACGTAGCATAGTTTGAACGCAAGCCCAAGAATGGCTGAAAATAGCGCAACAGTCCTGGCTTCGACAATATGAAACTTAAATGGCATAACCATGTAAGAATAAATTACATTCTCTTGCGGGAAACAGCATCTACAGAACTGGAGACTAAGAAAATGAGGCTGGTACGACTAGAAAAATTGGCTTAGTGTAATCTTTTCACTCCAGCCAACAAGCTCTTTGTGTGAGAACCGAAACATAACAGAGGTTAACTATTAAGGCAACACGCATTTTGAATGAAAACGATGGAGGTCGATATGTGTGAAGAGAGGAATTTACCATGCTTTACCATGTTTTACTATGCTGAAATCAATACTTTATAGTAAAAGTATCGTAAAGATGAGAACGCAGAGCACATCACAAACCAAAGAAGCCTTACAAACAAACGGTGACTCGACGAACAAACAGACTCACCTGAACCGACAAAAGGGTCATAAACAAGATCATATTGCCGCACCTTGCCAATGTTGTTCATCAAAAAAGACATCAGCGGATCCATAGAGGTGTTGCCGATGTACTTCCTGTGTTTCAGATCATAGAGATATGGAGTCCGGCAACAGCCATGAGCAATCTGAAAATCAAAGTTTTTAATCCATGTGTCGTCATGGTATTTAATAATACACAGATGAAGAATGACTTTCAGCAGCGCTCTGACTCTGAGTTTGAGGCTGTCAAGCAGTAGGTCAAAATGGCTAAGGAAATAAAATAGGAAATTCCTGTTCACATGAAAATCGCGCTATGCAGTCAGTCCGCGTTACTATTATTACTTCTCAAGTCTACACGGTGCGAATTTAGCTGCCGCACTTCGTACGCTTTACTCTTTGTATTCTCTTCGACCATATTTCCTCAGGCTATTAGCTCGCTTGAATCTCTGACGCCGAAGAGCAGAGCTGTAGCTGCAGATCCAAAGAGCAGTATTGATAGAAATGGGGATTTCCCATATCACGCTTGTCAGCGATATCCACCGCCACTGAGCTAACAGTTGTCGGTCACTAACCAAACAACACTCCCAAACGGTAGAAAATTGATCTTGATCACGGTGAGAAGACAAACTGAAAATCATTGGAACGAAACGTCAGAGACGGGATGTCATGCTGAAACTAACTCTCATTTTCTTGCTTCTTTGCACTGAGTTAGTTTCATTACTTTGTTACTTTCTGTTTAATATTTACTGTTTTACTGCAGCAACTGATGTTGTAGCACCCTTGCGGAAACACGTAAGTCAATAAATTTACAAATAGATAAACAGACTAACTTAAAACAATGTCGAAACAGTGGCCGCAGCAAGGAACATTTTGCTTGGACTGTCACCATACTGAAAATTACAGCACATTATTGCATGTACTCAAACATAATCATTAAATAACAGTACGAATGTACCTTAGATGACGCTGTTGAAAAAATGCTGTATATTTTCAGTATGAGAAACTTTCAGAAAACTGAGTGTTTGTGTCGCTGAAGATTTGTTCGCATACTGCTGGAGTCACGTAAAACATTCAGCAGAGAATACGAAATAGATCAAACATCCGTTTAGCAAATCTGATGTTTATATTGTAAAGAAATCAATTATCTAAATGCAAGAACAAAATAAAAAAATTTGATTTATCGGCCCATAAAATTGCAGTATGCTAAGAATTATTTTACGTTATATCAGCTGTATAAATGTGAACAAGACTATGGAAGTAACCAATGAGGTATAATAAATGCGCATTCAGCCATCACCGAATCCTTCCAACAACTTTGTTTAAGGCTACTTAGATAAAACGTTTAGGGCTTCCTTTATCTCCAGATGTTCAGCCAGTCTTAACGAAACTTGTCATTACAGACACTATTTCTCTTAATGAGCTAGTGTCTCAAACCTTGGGCGGATAAAGAACTCGATATATGATGCTATATTCAGCACTTTCCGGCTTTCAGACACAGTGATCTTGATGAAAGATTGTTACCAGTTAGAACCAACTATCTGTGATTAATCATTCATACGTCTAATTCCTTCTGTAATAATCACTTTTATCCACATTGCAGAACTCAGGCTACTAAAGACTGTCGATGTTCACCCATCCCTGCATTTCGATTTTGACATTAGGAAGCGTCTACTGTATTTAAAATCTCAATTTATTTACAATTATATCTCATCTGCTGGTCATCGATCGTCTGTTATCCAAGTTTTGGTTCCCACGTTTGCAGCTGACAAACCATTAAAGACTGGCTGCACTAAAAAGATTCTTGAGCAGTCAAAGGTATTACCAACCGATGGGCAGACAGACAATAGACTACGTTAAACCCATAATCATAATGCTTCAGACGGTAGGTAGTACATCACTAAGACGGTGTTTACGACCGATAAGAAGTGAAAGAATGCAAAACGCAAAATCCTCTTCCTAGCCATGGGACTCCAAAGAGAGGAAAAGGACCAGTCGAATCAACGAGCTGACAGCGCTTAAGCTATACCTAAAGCTGAATCGAAGTAACTGGCTGGCAGTGTGCAGAAATGGCTAGAAGGTGGGTGAATCAGTTCAAAACATTTATTATTCACGAAGTAACTGCAACCTACGCTCAAATGCACTAAACATTTTTTGGGGAAAATGAGGTGATATGAACCTCGACCACGTTAATGGGAACTGTCCTAGATATCGGCAAGAGATGAATATGTTTCCAAACACCAGTTCCAGTTCAAAAACGCAATCGCAGAACAGCAAGATCTGCTGGTTTGCGGCGATTGCAGGGGTGTGAATGGAAAACTCCAAATGAAGACGTGTCACCCATCGTTGACGGGTTACAGAGTCACATCTAACCCTTGATTTTGAAAGCCTAAAGGTATAATCTAACCGTAAGCTAAAGTTCTAAACTTAGGCCAAAAGCTAAAATATATTCATGCAATCTTCGCCAACTCAGCATGACAACAAGGTAATGCCACATCGTAAGCAAAATTCAAAACACCTTGCAAAAGACTAGCCTACCATCTTGCCAAAAAACACCGTTTTGAGATCAACGGACGTTTGGTCCCGCGGCGAGGTGTAATATTCGACAACGCAAAATTCGATTTCCGGGTCTTTCAGTTTCACGGCTCCTTTCAAAGGAAGAAAACCGAATTCCTGCAGAATGTTCAATCAAACCTCAAGCATGTTGCGCGATTTTACGCGCCTTGTCATTTTACCTCGATTCTCTCAACTTTGTAGTCCTGACTCAATGTTCTGCCGAAACTTTCTACAGAAAACCTGTATGACGGTTTTCCTTTAAAGCATTCCTGAAAGCAACGATAAAAAATACATCCGCAACCTCGTTCTCGTACCTGATAGTCCTGCAGCTTTGTCTTCACCTTCGTAAAGAGTTCGGAATAAGAACCGGCAGCTGCCCAGATTTCGAAAGCGTATCGTGACAAAACACTACGAGAGACAACGCGCGACAAGGAATCACCATTCTCCGTTTTCACAATGCAAAATGGGGTCTAAAACGAGAATATGA